AGAAAATAAGATACAGCTAGTGGAGACCTATTTTAAGTAGAAAATAAAATACATCTAGGAGAAACGGTTTTAAAATAGAAAGTAGAGTACAGTTTGTGGAGACAGTTGGAAAATTAAAAATATTATATACGTTGGGAAAACGATTTTGAAATAGAAAATTAAATACAGTTACTGGAGATGGTTGTACATAGAAAATAAAAAACCGCTACTTTAGAGGGTTGGAATATATAACATAAAATGCAGCTAAAGGAGACGATTGGAAAATTGAAAATTAAATACAGCTGTGGCAGACGTTTTAAAACAGGAAAAAAAAATACAGCTATGGAAAAGGGTTGTAACATATTATATAAAATACAGGAAGGGGAAATGGTTTTCAATAGAAAATAAATATAGCTTGTGGACACAGTTGGATAAAATAAAATAAATTACAGCTAAAAGAGGCAGTTGGAATACAGAAAATAAAATGAAGGTGCTGGAGACGGTTGAAAAATAAAAATACAAATTACAAGTAGTAGAGACAATTGTGAAAAAGAAAACAAATACCGCTTGTGGAGACTGTTGTAAAGCAGAAGTAGAAAAAAAAAATACGGTTGGTGGAAAAAGTTGTAAAAAAAATATTAAAATACAACTAGTGGAGAGTGTGCGATAAAGGAAGAAAGAATTCACGTAGGCAAAACGGTTTTAAAATAGAAAATTAAATACAACTAGTGGAAATGGATGGAAATTATATTTTAAAAATTACAGCTAGGGGAGACCGTAGTAAAGTCTAAAATAAATTACAGCTAGTGAAGACTGTAGGAATATAGAAATTACTATACAGCTAGTGGACACGGTTGTAAAATAAAAATAAAATAAATACAGGTAGTGGAGACAGTTTTAAAATAGAAAATTAAGTACAGCTAGTGGAAACAGTTGTAACATAGAAAACTGAATGCAGCTAGTGCAGAGAGTTGTAAAATAGAAAATTAAATACAGGTAGTGGAGACAGTTGTAAAATACAAAAATAAATACAGCTAGTGGAGCCAGTTATAAAATATAAAAATAAATACAGCTAGTGCAGAGAGTTGTAAAATAGAAAATTATAAACAGCTAATGAAGACTGTTGTAAAATATGAAATTAAATACAGCTGGTGAAAACAGGTGTAAAATTTAAAATTAGATACAGCTAGTGAAGACAGTTGTAGACTAAAAATGTAGATACAGCTAGTGGAAA